CCTTCGGGGACTACCTGCGGGACGTGCTGGCCAGGATGGGGCAGGTGAGCGTGGGGTGCTGCGGTGCCACCCCGCGTGTCCCCAAGAGCCCCTTGGAAGGGTCGTCCCTCCGGCCCTGCGGCCCCTCAGCTGTCACCCACTGCCCAGTTCCAGGACGTGCCGGCCATGCTGGAGCATTTTGGGGTGCTGGCGGGGGTGCGGGCAGCCCTGGCACGGGAGGCAGAAGCCGGGCAGGAGCTGCTGGCCCAGGGCAGGGCACGGCTCCAGCGGTACCGTCAGGAGGCCAGCACCCAGCTCCAGGGCACCAGGGATGAGCTGGCCCGGCTCCGCACACGCCTGGAGGCTGCCCACCAAGACGTGCTGCAGTGGGTAAGGGGGATGTGGGGTGCCCAAGGAGCCCCAGGCAGAGGGGCTGGGTTGGGCTGCAGCCTCTGGGCTGAGCTGAGGATCCCCACATGCCCAAGAAACAGCAGCTCTGCAATGGGGAGGATACACAGCCGGGTCTCCCTGGCCTGGCTTGGGGTGCAGAAGGACACAGGGCAGTGGCCAGGGGTTCACTCTGTCCCTCAGGAGTCCTGCTGGACCCACATCCAGAGCACAGCCATGCAGAAGACCCTGCTGCTGGGGCAGATCAGGCTGGCTGTGCAGAACCTCTTCCAGCAAATCACTGCAGAGCTCAAGATCCCCATGGATCAAGGCCAGGAAGACACAAAGGCCCAGTTGGACATGGTCAGCAGAACTCTCTCCTCGGGACAGTGGGGCTGGGGACACAGGGACATTTACATCCCTGGCTGGCTGTGGCATCAGGCTCCTATCTCCACAGGTGCTGCTCTGCATGCAGGGCCTGGCTGACATCTGTGCCACTGGCACACACCCACAGCACCATGGCACTGCCAGGCTGCTTCAGGACCAGGGATAGCCCCTGGGGACACCTGCCTGCTCCTGGGGCTGGGGAGAACCTGCCAGGGCCAGCACGGTGCCACAGGACCCCTGGGGATGGAGGTAATTCCCTGCAAGTCTGGAAACCCCATGTCAAGAGGCAACATGGATGGCAGTGGCACAGGCACACTGGGGAGGCACCACACCCAGGCAGGGCCAGGGCACTCCTGAGGTTCCCTCCTGCACAGAGCACCTGAGGCAGAGGGAGGAGGAGGAGGGAGCTGCTGTTGGCATCTCTGAACGTATTTCACATCAAAATACATCCCAGTGTGCAGCTGCAGCACCTGCTCGTTCTTGTGTCTCTAGGGAAAGAATTACCCCAGGCACAGGGGCACGATGCTTGGAGCAAGGACAGAGAGGAGCTGGGATGCAAAACCAGCCAACGTTTACTGTCTCCTTCCCCAACTCCCAGCCCAGGCTTAGGGGATGTGTCCCTTACATCCTCTTCCTCAGCTTGCCCTTCTTGGCAGCGCCCGCCCGGCGCCCGAAGGCCATTTGCCGCAGCTCCTGCACCCGCTGTCGGTTCCGTGCCTTGAGGCGCTTCAGGCCCCCGCTCTGCAGGAAGCGCTGCTTGGCCGCCTTCTTGCGCTGCTTCAGGATCTGCTGCTTGTTCCTCAGCTCCGAGCGCACCCTGCCCTGCGCCGGGGGCTGCGTGGGCCCTGCACGGGGACACGGCTGTGCTCAGGGCAGGGGACAGGGCCAGGCTGAGGGGAACAATGCAAGGCTCTGCTGCTCGCTTCAGGTACTCACCGTGCCCACGCTTGTGCTTCCCTCTGAACTGCTCCCTGCTGCGTGGCCCTTCCTCATCCTCGTCCCGCTCGTCAACCTTGTACTTCTGCTTCCACTTCTCGTAGCTGGGAAGGGCGGGTTAAGGGAACAGGTGGGGACTCCTCACTTGACCCTGTAACTCTGCTTGTCTGACTGTGCTCCCTCCCCCTGGCTGGGGATGGAGCCCTGGCACGTGGGTCCAGCCCTGCTCCCGCAGTGCCCGTGGCAGGATACAGGTTGTT